TGGACAGGACAGGCAAGACCTCAGTTTCACACTACCTCCGGTAGACGGTACCTCCAACAGGGCAACACCCTCGCAGTGCTGCGCATGAGTGTGCAAGCGAACACGTGCAACCATCGCTGAGTTTGCATGTGGAAGCCAGTCATCTCGTACAACAACAGTGTGCAAACCAGCAGACTGACGTGCAAAAGTCCATAGTGAACATGTGTGAAAGCTGCCAGTTCAGCAGTATCCAATTTATGAACTGCACCCCCTGCCCAGTGTCTTTGCAAGCAGGGGCTCACCATTGACCATTTAGCCCAGTGGTAGCATCCTTGTATCTCTGTCTGAAGACCCACAACAGTGACAGGTGGATACTGCAAATGCAAGTCTTTCCTTTGCCCAGCTAAATCTTTCAGCCTATTGGCAAACGTGTTACCACCACTGAGGAAGTCACACTTCTCAGGTGGGCAAGAGCCTGAGCCCATTTCTGGAAAATTGATAACCTGCCCTTGAATTTTTAAAACGCAAACCAATAGGTCAGCTCTTCCTCAAGGTCAGCTCAGGAACAATGGCTGAATGGCTTTCTGTTGTGCTTTAAGCTCTTAAGGGGATATAATTTTGAAAGCGTCCCTGACGTAACGATGATAAATTTATCAGGGCAATGGCCAAACCCTAATCTGTACAGATTTTCAGTCAATGATTGATCAGTTAGGCCTCTTCATAGGTGTCCAGGCTGCTGCCTGAAGTGAGTGTAAAGCTTCACCTCCTCAGTGAAATGAGAATCCTGTCAGGGCTTCCAACCTAAAGGCCAAAATCCACCTTGATTTGTGGCAGTTGCTGCTTCCTGCTCTATCCAACTGGTAGCTCCAGCTCCTCCTCAAAGCTTCCTGAAGTTGTCTTCCTGCCCTTGTCGTCAAATTCACTGGAGCGGGGAAGAGTGAGAGGCAAGATGGCTGCAATGGGCAACATTCTGACAAAGCTTGGCGCATGAGATTTGCAAAGTCTATTTACCGTTGGCCTCCCTGTCCAAAAAAATGAACTCACAGTTTCAGGGTAAGGGGTTGCAAATTTAGGATTGCAATGTGCATAAATTTCTTCACGCAAGGGGTGTGAATCTTTAGGAACTTGTGATGCTGTGGATGCCTGGTTGACTATATAGAAGACTGAGCTTGAAAGATTGGTCAACACTAATGAAGTGAAGATATCTGTCACAGAGTGGGAAGGACATGGATGTCAAAGTTCGGACATGTTCATATTAAATGGCTGGGTAGGCCCAGAGCACGCTTAGTGTCTGCTCTAGCCCCCAAACCCCTCAGTTCCAGTCCAACCTGGTTTCCTGAGCAGGAGATTGAATAGAGCACTCCATGTCTAAGACAGAAAGTGAATAAGCACCTTAAGGTGTATACTAGATTTTCCAGTTTATTTCCACAAGGCTGTTGTTTTGACATCCCTTGGCAACGCTGTGATTAGACAGCGAGCAGAAACAACTGTCTGTGTGCGTGTGAGTGTGTGTTTGGGTCACACCTCTTCCATGTGAAAATGTCCTGAGGCACTCCACGGCAGTATCTCATGAATCGACTAAAAACAGGGCACCGAGAGGCAGGAAGGAACTTTAAGACTGGCGACTAGAAGCAAAGTGAAAGTGGGAGGTTTTGAGGAGCTTCCTGAAGGAGAGGCAGTGAGATTTAGGGAGGGAATTTTAGAGTTTAGGGACTAGGCAACTGAAGGACAGGCACTGAAATTGAAGCGATGATAGTCAGGGAACATTCACAGCCTCTATTGGAGGGCCAGATATTTCCTCTGCTGGCCCCTGGCCTGTGTTTGGTTCATATCCCTCTAAACATTTCTTATTCATGTACTTATCTAAATGTCTTTTAAATGTTGTAACTATACCTGCATCCACCACCTCCCCTAGCAGTTCATTCCACACAGAAACCACTCTTTGTGTAAAAAAAAATGCCCCTCATGTCTTTTTTAGATCTTTCTCCTCTCACCTTCAAAATATGCCCCCTAGCCACCCTTTGGAAAAGATACCTTCCATTAAATAAACCTCTATAAGGTCACCTCCCAACCTCCTGGGATCCAGTGAAAAAAGTCCCAGCCTATCCAGCCTCTCCTTATAACGCAAACCCTCCATTCCCGGGAAGATCCTGGTAAATCTTTTTCTGAACCCTCTCCAGCTTAATAATATCCTTCCTATAACAGGGAGGCCAGAGCTGTACACAGTGCTCCAGAAGAGGCCTCACCAACGTCCTGTACAATCTCAACATAACGTCCCAACCCTTACACTCAAAGGACTGAGCACTGAAGGCAAGAGTCCTAAAAACCTTTGTAAACTTCTATCCTTGCCCCTTCCCCTCCCTTATCCAGCACCCCCATTCCTTATTCACATGCTGCCCTTTGGAACATCATCCAGAAGCACAGTGATAGTTATCACATGTACACTGCCAGCTCCTGGCTCTCTCTCATCATCACCACCCTCTCTCCACTCCCCCACAGTCTGTACATCATCACCACCCTCTCTCCACTCCCCCACAGTCTGTACATCATCAGACTGTGTATCCGAGATCTAGTACTGGAAAGGCAGAGATTTCCTCCTGAAGGAAGACTGAATCCATTGTTCTCATTCCAAACTCTGTTCTCTAACAACTGACCCCCTCCATGGGACTGCTCTGAAATTAAATCAATCTATCCACAATCTCAGTGTCACACTTCACTGTGAGATGCCTGTCTGACCTCATATTCAAACCATCACCTGTTTCCACCTCGTCCTGTCTCAGCTCATCAGCCTCATCCTTGTCTGTGTTTCCTCCAGACTCCGACAATTCCAACACACTCTGGACTGCTCTTCCAGTTTTGATTCTCCATAAGCCTGTGCCCATCCAGGTCTCTGCTGCCTGTTTTGTTTTCCTCACACAAAGCTCTCGTCCGCTCCGTGCTGTTGAATGCTCTGAATTCAACAGCTTCATAGAAGCCCTACAGTGTGGAAGCAGGCTATTCGTCCACATCATCTGACTGAACAGCATCCCCCCCAGACCCAACCCCGCTACCTTATCCCTGTGACCCTGCATTTCCCATGTCTAACCCACCCAGCCTGCACATCCCTGGACACTACGGGGCAATTCAGCATGGCCCATTCACCCTAACCTGCACATCTTTGGACTGTGGCAGCAAACCCACACAGACACGGGGAGAATGTGCAAACTCCGCACAGACAGTCGCCCAAGGGTGGAATTGAACGCGGGTCCCTGGTGCTTTGTGGGGCAGCAGTGCTAACCACTGAGCCATCATTCCGTCCTAAAATTAAAATTTAAAATTCTCATCCTTGCTTTCAAATTGCTGCATGAGCTTTGCTCTTTCTTACCTGTGTAACCTTCAAGCCCACCATCCTCTGATATACCTACCCTCCCTGAACTCACGACCCCCCATTATCATGTGCTCCACCATCGGTGTGTACATTCAGCTGTGTGGGTTCTTACCTTTCTTCCTTCAAGTATCTTTGGGGCGTTTTAATCCAGTAAAGGTGTTTTATAAATAAACATCCTTCTTGTTGTTGCTTGTAGGACATTACAGTGTTACAAAATAAAGAGTATAAAAAAAAGCATTCCTAATCGTTGTAGCATCTGCTTTTCTGATAAAACATTGACTGGAAAGCCGGCTGCAATTCCAACCTGGAAAGCCGACTTGGAACTTGTAACAGTGAATGATGAACTGAAAGACAAATGAATCTAACAACTTCTCTCACTGCCCATTAAAACATTTAATGGATCGACACAGAAAGCAACTTACTGTATATGAAAATCTAAACTTGCTTCACATTCACAGAAGTCACAATCAACAATACTCCAGAAAAACATTTACTCCTGACACTGATCCGAGGGTCCTCATTGGAGGGTCCTCAAACACGCTGGTGAGTTTATGAATGACTGACCTCCGGTTCCAGAGGTCACTGCCACTTACAGATCTGGGCAGGTCCACACTGCATCAGGAATAAAATACTGGCAATGTAGGGTGGGGGTGGGGGTGGGGAATGGGATAGGGGTTGTGGGGGGTTGTCGGGAAAGTCCTCCTTTCTCACACTCAAGGCACATCCAATCGTTTCTGTTCTGCTGGAAAGTGATTCCTCAGAGGAAAAACACCATTTCAGACAGCTCTGTATAACCGACTGTCGTATTGTTAAAAGTTGAAAGTGAATATTCCAACCACAACCGGATTAAATTAGACAGTACAAATAACAAAAACAGACCGACTTTCCTCTCAGCTCCTCCTATGCAACCCTGAGTAACATCCAAGAAAGCTGTCCCTAATTCCGTCCTGGAATGTGGGTGCCATTGGAAAGTCCTGCAGTTTTTTTGCCCGTTCCTAATATTTAACTTTAGATTTCAAAGTTCACCACCTGCCGTGAAGCTCTAGAATGCCAGGTCAATGCCTACAGCACTGTTTCACCAGCTTCCCCAATCTGCACCACAGTATAGACCTTGACCATCAGTGCACTGAGAATACAGACTAACAACAGAGGCGTCCTGATCTGATCAGACTTGAGATGGCACTGGCCAATCTAATCCCTTTTGAAGCAAATTTTACTGCTTTGCGCCACACCAACCTGACAATCATTTTATCTGTGCATCTTTGAATTAAAGCGGCTAAATAATAGTACCTGAGGTGAGGCATTCAGGCATATTGTTCCCTGTTCAGTTCTTTAGCCTTTAACTCTTGATTGTTAAAAACAACATTTTTTAACAACTTGTTTGAACATGTTATAACATACCTCCATGGCAAGCAGAGTTTGAACTAGGATCTGAACTAGGTAGGGATTTTACCACTGTCCTATCAGAACCTCATAACGTGGCTGCATATAGGTAGAAACTATAGTTAATTACAAAAAATTTTAGTCTATTTTTCACTGTAATCACAAAATACAATTTTTAAAAATACTAATTTTAAAAAGCACATTTAAAAAACAGCCTATACCTTTAATTGTTAATAATCACTGTCATTTCTAATTATAAATGTATATTAAAATCATTACATCCAAAGCCTTTTCTGTGATACATTTCTACAGCAGCCGATGGGCCTTGTCTGTATAAAGTTGTCATCCTCCAACTGTGGAGGTGCTACAGTCCTTCTGATGGAGTGCAGATATGAGATGTTTGGTCGTTCCTGTAGTAAGTGGAGATTTCAGATTTTTTTAACCTGAAATATAAAGCCAAAGGCAGTCACTAAGATGGATTTCGGAGCGGACCGAATGAGCCTAATATTGATGCATATGGTAACTAAACTCCCTGCGAGCAATTACACAAAATGATACCCTGCCCAGAATAAGAAAGTGCACTAAATTTGTTCACGTTTGCTCCTGTCATGTAGCAGCAAGTCGTTTAAGTTGATCACAGTCGTAGCAAAATCAACAAGTTCCACAAAGTCTGAGGTAATGATGTTGACACCATTGACACCAGGCTTCTGAGACTTCACCCAGTTCATTATTGTCGGCAGGTTTCTAGCAGAGAAATTAAATAGAACAGGTGAATGTTAATCATTATTGACAAACAATTAATTAACACAATTATATCTCTGAATCATACTGTCCTTGACTAACTTGGGTGATTCGCATCTGATTTTTCTTCGGTCCCTGCTCGGAATATTTCCTGAAGTTGCCTTAGAGCTCAGCTACATCTTGAAAATAGCCATCCTCAGAATCACAGGGAACAATAATCTTTGGATCTCACATAGTAATGTTGATTTGTGATTGGGGGTAGTTGTCTTTGGGATTCGAGAAGGGAGTAGTTTCGAGATTTGAGATGGCTTTTTTTGGGATTTCAGACCGTAGGGTTTTTGGGAATTGAGGTGGTCATTTGCTGGACCCTGTTATTTGTATTGTGATATTCGTTTGTTACACTTTTCTTATTTCCATTTTATTTTATTAACATATGGCACCACCTTGTGAACGGGCTCAGAACTGACAGGCTGGGATTTAAAGGTTCAATGCACGCAAGTAGCAAATCTCTCTCTCAAGGCTATACTCACCAGAGGGCTCCTGCTCATTGTATTCCTTTCACATGGACACTGTCTGAATTAAGGGTACACAATTATTTTGTTTTTCAGTATGTAATGTGGGGACTTCATTATGGTGTTCAACCTGGTGTTGATTCTCTATTAGACCCATCTGTTACGGGCTGGACCAGACTCCTCCCTCAAATATAGTAAGGAGATAGCCTAGACCCTAACTTTTATAATTATTTAAAGGTAAGGGTAAGCTGCTGTGTTCCAGATGTTATTCAATTGGTCCACCCACTGCGCTTTAAGCAAAACACACTTTATTCTTTCATCACATTTAAAATACAAACAAAAATAAAAACTGGCATAACTTTAGCTCTATTGAAATACTTAACAAGATAATATATGATTTAACCACTAATCATCAACCTGTCCAATGTAGGCAACATTCCATAACCACACCCTCAGGCAAAGGCAACTCAGCAGAACAGTTTATTCTCACGTGCTGTCTTTCTCCAATCCAGCTGAAATAAATACCAGAAAAAAAACAATCTGCCTCTTTTATTTCTAAGAGGAAAAACTGTCTAAGTCTTCACTAGCAGCATAGAGAGAGAGAGGTCTGCCTATTAACTCCAGCAGACACCTAACTCAAAATCAAACTGAAAGCAAAACCCAAAGTCCCTTGGTTCTATATGAGCCTGACTCTGCCCACTCATGCTTCTTTTGCCTATTTTTAAAAAAATCCCATTGCAGACACTTTGGTACCAGGGTGACAACACCCCTCTGCAACAGAAACAGGGCAGAACACATCTCTTCAAGGCACAGTCTCGTCACACATCTGTGTTGAGTTTATCCTGCATTCCCGACTCTTCCAGTAAAAACTGAAAGAACTGCAGATGCTGTAAATCAGGAGCATAAACTGGAAAAGCTCAGCAGGTCTTCCTTCCTCAAGGGTCACCGGACCTGAAATGTTAGCTCTGATTTTTTTCTTCACAGATGCCGCCAGACCTGCTGAGCTTTTCCAGCAACTTCTGTTTTTGTTCCAACTCTCCCAGTATTGTCCTGGTTGACTTCACACACTGAACCCCCAGAAACTCGACGTCAGCCACATTAGCAAACATTAGCACTCCTTTTGTGTTTTGCTCTGAGCACCCTCACTGTCTGTTCCACTTGCTTCTCCCCCTTTGTCAGCTGCATTATGTCCCAGCCCCTTGCAGTTCTGGAGAACAGTCATACCAGACTCAAAAGTTAATTCTGTTTCTCTTTCAACAGAAGCTGCCAGACCTGCCGAGTTTCTCCAATGTCCGCTGCTTTTAATTTTGTTTCTGGTCGTCGTCTCACCTGTGCTGCAAGTAAGGCAACTTCTCAAATTCACCTGCCTCATCTTTCGATTTCAAACCACTCTGGCCTCTCCCTAGCTGTGTAATCTCCTCCAGTCCCCCAACCCTCCGAGATCACTGTGCTCCTCCAATCCCAGCATTCCACCCCCCTCTCCGATTCCCATCACTCTGCCATTAGCGGGCCCTCTCATCACCTACCTGGGGTTGCCTTAAACTCTGGAATTCCCTTTCTCAACCTCTCCGCCTCACCTTAAAAATCGACTGCTTTGACCAACCGTTTGGTCATCTAACTGCACATCACCTCGTGAGGTGCAGCGTCAGGGTTTAGTTAACCAGCCTTTTGGCACTTTTCTCTCATATCAAAAGGTGCTAGATGAATGTAACTTGTTGTTGTGGTCAGAGATTTAATCCTATGTTTGACCAGGAGTCACCCACCTTCACCCCTCTCTGAAAAATGATGCCCCAGAGCGAAGGTTTGTAACTAAATAACAAATGGACACCAGATTTTAACTCCTCGCAAATAACGGGGAGCATGTACCCTGATTTCCACCTCAGTACGACGCCTTTCCTTGGAACACAAAACAAAGGCTATCTACCTTACTTAAGACAGTTCAGAAAAAGAATAAGGGCCTCAGAATGGAAGCAGACTGCAAACTAACCTAGCGACGAGAAAGTCGCGTAGTCCAACGATGAGCCCGCGAATCACCGTCTTGGTCTGAGGGGTGAGGATGGCCTGGGACACGTGGAAAGTCCCCCTTTTTGCCCGCTCGTTCAGGGTGGTCTCCAGAAACTGCACCAACTTCCGTGCGTCAATGGTGTTTGCCCAGGGCGCTGGCATCTGATTACCCGGCCACAGAAAGGGAAAGTCGTGGGCCATGGGATGGTGATAGAACACAAGCACCTGGTTTTGTTGCAAGCGAAGAGAATGAGAGCGTTAGGAAAACAGAGTCCCTGGCATCAAACTGGTCAGGGCATCACTCAGCTCTAACTAACTATACCAGAGCAGTAAAACACAATTCTCAGTCTGAATCTGGAAAACCAGTTGATAAAGGTTAAGGCTAGAGTCAATTTTGCACGTAATTCAACATACTGGGCATTCAATCCAGAGGCACACCTTGTTTTACAAAAAGTCAGAGAGTCGTAAAGCATGCAAACAGACTCTTCAGGCTAACCAGTCCACACCAACTATGTTCCAAAATAAACTAGTCCCACTTTGTCTGCGTTTGGCCCATATTCCTCCAAACCTTTCCTATTCTGAAATATCAAATACTTGTTAATAACCCTCTAAACGATTGCATAAACTGGCAATTCTGTGAGATCTCTATGATGTATAACTCTATGACTCTGTAAGTAATGGAGGTGGGTACAATTACAACATTTAAAAGGTATCTGGAAGGGTATATGAATAGGAAGAGTTTAGGGAGATATGGGCCAATTGCTGGCAAATGGAAGTAGATCAGTTTAAGATACCTGGTCGGTGTGGAAGAGTTGGACCAAAGGGTCTGTTTTTGTGCTGTACAATTCTATGACTTTTAATGTACCCATCGAAACTTCTTTTAAACGTTGTAACTGTACCTGCATCGAACACTTTCTCTGGCAGCTCATTCCACATACAAACCACTCTCTGTGTAAAAAAAAATTGTCCCTCACGTCTTTTTTAAATCTTTCTCCTCTCACCTTAAAAATATGCTCCCTAGTTTTGAACTCCCCCACTTTAGGGAAAGGACCTTTGCTATTTACCTGATCTATGGTCCTCATGATTTTATAAACCTCTATAAGGCTACCCCTCAACCTCCAAAGTTCCAGTGAAAAAGGTGCCAGCCTTTCCAGCCTATTTTTATATCTCAAACCCTCTATTCCTGGCAATATCATAATAATTTTTTTCTGAACCCTCTCCAATATCCTTCCCATAACAGGGTGACCAAAACTGCATACAATACTCCAGAAGAGGCCTCACTAACATCCTGTATAATCTAAACATGTCGTCCCAACTCCTATACTCAAAGGTCTGAGCAATGAAGGCAAATGTGCTAAACACCTTCTTAACCACCCTGTGTACACGTGGCACAAATTTCAAAGAATGATGTACCTGAACCCCTAGGTCTCTCTGTTCGACAACACTACCCAGAGCCCTGCAATTAATTGCATTAGTCTTGTCTTTGTTTGTTTTACTAGAACCCAACATCTCACATTTATCCAAATTAAACTCCATCTGCCACTCCTCAGCCCATTGACTCAATTAACCAGATGGGATGAAATAGTCTAGATGAGGAACATATGGAATGTTTTCAGGACAATCTCTTAGACCAGCATGTTATGGCACCAACCAGAGAGCAGGCTATACTAGACCTGGTTTTAATCAACAAAACAGGATTAATTACTAACCTTATTGTAGAAGGTCCCCCCAGTAGCAGTAACCATAATATAATTGAATTTTAAACATGGTTTAAGGGAGAGTGGGTCCAAGACATTGAATGTAAACAAGGGTAATGGTGAAAGCATGAAAACAGAACTAGCAAAAGCTGGGGAGGCAATGGCCTTGTGGTATTATTGCTACACTGTTAATTGAGAGACCCAAAGAATGCTCTGGGGATGTGGGTTCAAATCCCACCATGGTGGATGCTGGAATTTGAATTCAATAAAATATCTGGAATTAAGAGTCTACTGATGACCATGAATCCATTGCCAATTGTTGGGGAAAAACCCATCTGGTTCACTAATACCCCTTTAGGGAAGGAAACTGCCATCCTTACCTGGTCTGGCCTACATGTGACTCCAGATCCATAGCAATGTGGTTGACTTTTAGCTGCCTTCTGGACAATTAGGGGTGGGCAATAAATGCTGCCTAGCCAGCGACACCTTCATCCCGTGAGTGAATTAATAAAAGAGAATTGGTCAATTTAGGTCAAAGGATAGGTCAGTCGAAATGCAGTGGCAAACATTCAAGGGAATATTCCAGAAAGCACAGAGTAGACACGTTCCAACAAATAAGGAAAATTCTAAGGGACAAATCCGACATCCGTGATTAACTAGAAATGTCAAAGACAGTATCAAACTCAGAGAAAAGATAGGTGGTAGGACAGAGAATTGCATAGAACATAAAATACCAGGAAAGAATTACAAAAAGATTAAAAAGGAGGATAAATTAGAGTATGAAAAAAAAAGTCAGGCAAAAATATTAGGTCAGACAGGAAAAGTTAACAAAGTAAATGTTGGTCCTATAGAAAATCAAGTCCAGGGAAATATTAGTGGAAGATAAAAAGATAGCAGATGAGCTGAACAGATAATATGCGTTGATCTTCACTAAACAGAATACAATTAACAAGCTAGAAATAGCTGTAAATTAGGAACTGAAAGGGAGGGAGGAACTCAAGAAAATTATATTTCCCAGAGAAATGGTACTGAGTAAATTACTAGAACTGAGAGTTGACAAATTCCTAGTTCCTGATGGATTTTATCCTGAGGTCTTAAAAGTAGTAGCTAGTGCAATAATTGATGCATCGGTCCTAATTTTCCAAAACTCATTAGATTCAGGGAAGGTTCCTTTAGATTGGAAAATAGCTAATGGGGACTCCTTTATTCAAAAAAGGAGGGGGACAGGAAGCAGGAAACTACAGGCCAGTTAGCTTAATATCTGTCAGAGAGTGTTACGAAGGAGTGGTCAACCCCCATCTGATAATTAAAACTAAAATCCCCAGAGCAGCTGGCCTCACCTCGTAATCTGTTAAAGGAAATGTGATAAGTGGTATAACCTGCCTCTCACCCCCAATTTGTTATAAAGGGGAGGTTAAATGAAATAAACTACTCATACTCATTCTATACTCAACAAGTAACAAATTAACAGAACTACTAACAAACCAAACAATTCCCACTTAACTACTAACTATTCCTGAATAAAACAAAATTCTAATGGTATGCTGTTATAATGGGCACAGGTCCCACTTACATAAACCACATTAATAAAAAGAAAAGTTAAAGATTAATCTCTCAAAATTACAGCCAGGATAAGTCTTCCGAGATGTTCTTTGCCTTCTCTGCTGTCCGGCAGTCAGGAATGCCTTCCTCCATCGAATTGTTGTGTCAGGAATATTAGCTAAGAGTGCCGCAGTACCTTTATTTAGATGGTGTTTACTCTGAGATCTTATAAATTTCTGTGAGAGCCAGTGATTTCCTCTTTCTTTAGAGTTGATGACTGTGAGAGCTGTTCTCTTAACAGATGGTAGTTTGCTCTCATACAAATTTTCAAATGCCCTCTTCTTTTATACCTTTGATGACCGATTAATTTTTTACAGCAGGACTGGTCCAAGGTTATTAAAGCGATCAGACTTAAATTTAATTGGCTATTGGGCCTGTTTAAATTAATTGGCTAAATTCAAAAACCTGTTGTCTTGGTAAAAATGTTCCTTTGCCTGGTAACAGTATAGCCTTTTGATATGCTGTTTCAATCTCAAGATCTCTCTGTGCATCTGCTGCTGCCTCTAGGCAAATTTTTTAATCTCCAAGCCTAAAAAAAAACTTTTAAAGGAACCATGCACTCTTCCCCCTATCATTTTACAAACAAATTCTAACGTCCTGCCTTCCAATCCACAAGTACTATACCCAACTTCGCAACAAGTGAAAATGTTGGAAGCTTTTATTAAAGTCATTGTAACAGAGCATTTGGATAAGTCCAAGGTAATCAGGCAGAGCCAGCATGGTTTTGATAAAAGAAAATTATATTCAACTAATTTATTGGAGTTCTTTGAAGCAGTAACTTGTGTTGTAGATAAAGAGGATCCAGTGGGTGTACTATACTTAGATTTCAAAAAGACATTTGATAAGGTGCTACATCAAATGTTATTGGAAAAAATAAAAGCTCATGGTATAGGGGGTAACACAGGTGAACAGAAAGCAGACAGTAGGAATAAGTGGGTCTGTTTCAGCCTGGCAGGATGTGACGATGGTATGTCACAGGGGTCAGTGCTGGGCTCTCAAGGCTTTACAATATATAGAAATGACGGTGGGACTGAAGATATGGAGCTAAATTTCCTTATGAGACAGAAATAGGTAGGAAAGTGAGTTGTGAAGAGGACATAAGGAGACTACAAGTGGATACAAATCGGTTCTGTGAGTGGACAAAGTTCTGGCAGATGGAGTGCAATGTGGGAAAGTGTGAGATTGTCCATTTTGGCAGGAAGAATAATAAAGAAGCATATTATCTAAATGGTGAGAGGTTACAGAAATCAGAGATGCACAGGGATCTGAGTGTCCAGGTGTATGAATCACTGAAGGTTAGTGTGCAGGTACAGCAAGTAATCAGGGAAATTAACACAATATAATAAAACAAAGAACAGTCAATGCTGGAGATCTGAAACAAAGACAGAAAATGCTGTAGAAACTCAGCAGGTCTTGCAGCTTCTGAAGAAGGCTCACAGCACTCGAAACACTAAATTTGTTTCTCTCTCCACAAAAGCTGCCAGTCCTGCTGAGTTTCTCCAGCATCTGCAGTATTTTGCTTTTATTCAAGTTGTAAAGGAAATTGCCGTTAGACTAGGCCTACAGCAGGTAGTGAGGGAAAAACATACTCGACCTCATCCTTACCAATCTGCTGCTGCAAATGCATCTATCCACGACAGTTTAAGTAAGAGCGACCACCACATAGTCCTTGTGGAGACGAAGTCCCGTCTTCACATCGAGAGTAACCTCCATCATGTGTGGCACTATCACCGTGCTAAATGGGACAAACTTCAAACTGACCTAGCAACTCAAGACTGGGCATCCATGAGGCGCTGTGGGCCATCAACAGCAGCAGAATTGTACTCCAGCACAATCTGTAACCTCATGGCCCGGCATATCCCCCACTCAACCATTACCATCAAGCCAGGGGATCAGCCCTGGTTCAACGGAGAGTGCAGGAGGACATGTCAGTAGCAGCACCAGGTATACCTGAAGATGAGGTATCAACCTGGTGAAGTTACCAAACAGGACTACTTGCACGCCAAACAGTGAAAGCAGCAAATGATAGACAGAGCTAACCAATTTGACAACCAATGGATGAGATTTGACCAGAGAGTGCATTACTGCCCTCTAAGGGTCAATACGAGAACCACTGCTTCTTTTGATAAATGTTAATACCTTGCATTTGAGGATATAGAGTACAATTACTTGGTTGAAACAGACACAGATCTCAGCAAAGAAATAAACAATGTGAATATCAGGAGGCCATTACTAGACTGGTAAACCAGGGTTGATCCCCTGGCTTGATGGTAATGGTTGAGTGGGGGATATGCCGGGCCATGAGGTTACAGATTGTGCTGGAGTACAATTCTGCTGCTGTTGATGGCCCACAGCGCCTCATGGATGCTCAGTCTTGAATGACTAGATCTGTGTGAAGTCTGTCCCATTTAGCACGGTGATAGTGCCACACAACACAATGGAGGTTATTCTCAATGTGAAGGTGAGACGTCTTCTCCACAAAGACTGTGCAATGGTCACTCTTACCGATACTATCATGGACAGATGCATCTGTAACTGGCAGATTAGTAAGGATGAGGTCCAGTATGTTTTTCCCTCTTGTTGGCTCCCTCACCACCTGCTGCAGACCCAGCCTAGCAGCAATGTCCTTTGGGACCCGACCAGCTCGATCAGTAATACTGCTGCTGAGCCACTCTTGGTGGTGGACATTGAAATCCCACACCCAGAGTACATTTTGCATCCTTACCATCCTCAGTGCTTCCTCACGTGTTGTTCAACATGGAGGAATACTGATTCATCAGCTGAGGGAGGACGGTATGAGGTAATCAGCAGGAGGTTTCCTTGCCCATGTTTAACCTGAAGCCATGAGACTTCATGGGATCCGGAATCAATGTTGAGGACTCCCTAGGCAACTCTCTCTCAGCTGTGCCACCGCGTTCGGTGGGCCTGTCCTTAGTAAGACCATAACACCAGAAGAAATAGGAGCAGGAACCCGGTTGGTCCTATATCCGGCAACTATCATGGGTGATCCCACAGCTGACGGATTTGACACAACATCGGTATTGGGATGGGACCTTGGAGCACTAACCTGATACTTATGTTCCCATAAATACTGCAGCGTTATTTCCTCCACCAGGTTAGCTCGACAGAGTTTGGACCCGAAGGTGTTTCTAAGCATCTGGATAAGGTATTCGTGGTTTGAGCCCTCCATTTCGTAGTAGTGGTTGAAATCGAGGAAAACCACCTCTTTGGGGTGAGCTGTCAAGAAATTGTCAATCTCGATCAGACCATCGTGAACCTTGCTGCCAAATAAACCATGGATGAAATAAAGTTCCTGGCTGTCCCCGGGTTTGGTGGAAACGCGGAGGTCAAAATAACGGATACCGGCCTCTAGCTGCTCCCGAAAAGTCAAGCTTTGTGTCACCGACCATCTCTTCATCATCTTCTTCCAGGAGGACCGGAAAATTCCAGCCATGTGCCTGACCACAACCGGCTGGTCCGGGCCCACTGGGGATTTTTCGTCGATCCAAAAGCTAAAGGAATTGTGAGATCCTGCAAAAAGAGAAGTGGAACGGGAAATGGTTAGATTATGATTCTTAAAGGACACTTCTCTCGCTCCCAATCTCAATGTCACACCGTGAGCTCGTTATTAAGCTGAGGTCCCACCAACCTGACAGGAACACAAAGTCGGGGCAGTGACAGGGACATGTTCCACAGTGAGCCCTCTGGTGGTCCAGGCATTGTGACGGTTGACATAGGGAAACGAAATGGGAACATGTTGACATCACAGTTTACAAGAGCTGGCATTGACAGAAAGGTGTGGCCAAGAATTGGTGCCAGATTCCACATCGCATTTGTCCTGCGTTGTCTGTGACAGTTCAGCAAACCGACCCCTGACCTTGCGAAGTCTGGGAGTGGTTAACAGTTAGTGGAGGAGATCGTTCAGCCCATCTAGCATGCCTGCTGCATCCATGGAGACAGAGCCCAAAAGCCAGCAAGACAGGTGGATGTGTGGGGGGTGGATGTGTGGGGGGTTGATAGAGGGGAAACACGATCTCCGACCATCCCGCGACGCCGATTCTCTGAGCTGCCCTCCTGCTGAGAATGTTCTGGAAGTCGGAGTGTTTCTGACGCTGCTCTGTGCAATGTATTTCTTAGCTTGGGACTTCTGGCTCATTTCACCACCCAATGTAAAGAGCTATCTCCAGCTACAATCTAAACTACAAGTTGATCCCAAACTGAAAGGACCTCTGCATGTGCAGCAGTATAACTGCTGTCCGCTCCATGATCAAATTCAAAGGGAGAGTACATCCTAGTTGAAAGTCAGAATAACTTTGAAAATATGGTGCTAAATGTAAAGTAGAAAGGATGGCATTATCATCAGTAAGGATTGGTTCATTCATGTTTCATTTAGTTCACAGACTTAGAGAATCATTATCATTGAATCATTCAGTGCAGAATAGGCCCTTCAGTCCATCAAGTCTATACTGTCAAAAATATACTACTATCCACCTTCTACTACTATTACCCCACCTTCCTACATTAGGCCCACAGCCTTGAAGGTTATGACATTCCAAGTGTAACTTTTTGGAAGTTGTGAGGTTCCCACCTCAGCTCCCCTCCCAGGCAGTGTATTCCAGATGCTGACAGCACCATCAGCCTGGATTTCACTTTTATTCATTCACAGGATGAGGGCTTTGCTGGCCAGGCAGCATTTATTGCCCATCCCTAATTGCCCAGAGGGCAGTTAAGAGTCAACCACATTGCTGTGGGTCTGGAGTCACATGTAGACCAGACCAGGTAAGGATGGCAGTTTCCTTCCCTAAAGGGCATTAGTGAACCAGGTGGGTTTTTCCGACATTTGACAATGGATTCATGGCCATCATTAGACTCTTAATTCCAGATATTTATTGAATTCAAATTCCACCATCTGCCATGGCAGGATTCGAACCCAAGTCTCCAGAATGTTACCTGGGTCCTCTGGATCAACAGTCAAGTGATAATACCACTAGGCCATCGTCTCCTCAATTTCCCAGACATATCGCTCTATAAGTATCAAGGCAGCTTTGCTTCAGCACTAAGAGCTTGTAGACACAGTGGAGATTGACACGGGAACTATTTGTATCAGCTTAAAGACACAGTCCTGCTGGGAACGTCTGTTTAAACCAGCAGCTAAGGTCAAACCCCAGAAAGAACTTAGTTCACCGAATCTGCTGGATCTGGATCTACACAAAGTGCTGCTCCCAAGACACTCCAGACCTCAGCAGTTGCTCTGTCAGAGTCTGCAGCATCTTTTCTGAACAAGATCCACTGCCAACATCCTGCGGACCAAGGCATAGGAAACACAGCAAGTCTCTCACAGGTTCCCTGGGACCGACCCCATCTGGTGAATGGCAGGTTTTGAGCTCCTACAGTGACAGTGATCCTTGTACAGTGACGGGCCCCCTGTGCAGCCAACCTCTTCCACAGGGGCCCAATACAAACCCTGTATTCACTTGTGGAGACACACAAACAATGCTGTACATTCCTGAGAAGTGACTGAACGGGATGGGAGGGGGGACAAATCATCTTCATTCAACAGCTGAAGAAGCAGTTACCTAGCTCTGCTCATTGGGTAATTGAATAACTGACAGTTTGTTGTGAATCTGATAATAAACCATAATATTGCAGAAATATTACTGTACTATTACATTATAGAATCTCATACTTCAAATGGAGTCATACAGCACAGAAACAGACCTTTTAGTCCAACTCGTCCATGCTAACCAAATATCCTAAATTAACCATCCCATTTGCCAGCATTTGGCCTGTATCCCTCTAAATCCTTCCTATTCATATACCCCTCCAGATGCCTTTTAAATGTTGTAACTGTACCAGCCTCCACCACTTCCTCTGGCAGCTCATTCTATACACGCACCACCTTCTGTGTGAAAAAGTTGCACTTCAGGTCCCTTTTAAATCTTTCCCCTCTCACCTTAAACCTATGCCTCTCTAGTTTTGGACTCCCTTACCCTGTGGAAAAAGGCTTTGTGTATTCACCTTATCCATGCCCCTCATGATTTTATAAAACTCTATCAGGTCAACCCTCAGCCTCCGACACTCCAGGGGGAAACAGCACCAGCCTATTCAACCTCTCCCTATAGCTCAAACCCTCCAACCCTGGCAACATCTTTGTAAATTTTTTCTAAACTTTTTCAAGTTTTCCGTTTAGTATATGAACTGCGTTATTGTGCAGTCTACAAGTGGATCTGGTTGGGGAAGAGGTTGAGGTATTTGGAATCCTTCAGCAAAGACCTCAAGCAAGATTCGAAGTAAGCATGAAGAAAGACAACTTAGAACCTGAATATTAGCCTGATAAAGTATTTGACTATCATGAAACAAAGTGTTTAACTAGCATTCAGTGAGTCTTCTGCAGGCATCTATACCTGCATAGCTGTACTGCTCTGGTCTGCAAGTTTCCCTCCGAGTCACTCATCATCCCAACTTGGAAATGTATCTCCATTCCTTCATTATCACTGGGTCAAAATCCTCAAACTCCCTCCCTAACAGCATTGTGCATGTCTCTACAGCTCATGGACTGCAGTGTTTCAAGAAGGTAGCTCACCACCTCCTTCTCCTGGGCCTCGCAAGTGACAACCATATTCCATCAATGAATAAAAAAGCTCTTTGAAGCTATCACTCTTCAGGCCGATGATAAAATTCTCGCAACGCTCAGCTAAGTTTATTGACCATGATCAATAACAAAGCCTACACTTATATAGCGCCTTCAGTGCAGGAAAATAAACCAAAAATGCTTCACAGGAGTATAAACAAAAGTCCACGCAAGCCACTTAAGGAGATATTAGGAGTGACCAAAAACATAATCAGGTTGGTTTTAAGAGCAATGGGGAATAACAGTGAGATTTAGGGAAAGAATTTTAAAGTTTGGGCCGCAGACAACTGATGGTATTGCTGCCAGTGATGAGGTAAAGGAAGTGGAAGGTGACACCAGGACGATGGTGGTCTTCTTGAAGTAGGTGGGAACCTCACATCGAAGTAAGGACAGGTTAAAGATGTCAGCGAATACTCCCACCAGCTGGTCCACGCAGGATCTGAGCGCACGGCCAGGGACTCCATCTGGGCCAGTCGCTTTCTGTGGGCTCGCCCTCAAGAAGGCCAATCTGAAGTCTATGGCAGTAGCCATGGCTGCAGGTGCACTCGAGGCTGATGGGATAGGTGACATCATTCCACTGACTTTCTGTTCAAATCAAGCGTAGAATGCATCGAGCTCAACGGGAAGGGGTGCATTGCTGTCAGCGATTCTACTCGGCTCTGCTTTATAGCCTGTTACATCGTGTAAGCCTTGCCACAGTCAACATGTGTTCGTGTGGTTAGTCTGGGATTTAAGAACTGCTTCTTCCCCACTGTTATCAGACTTATTTATTAGAGTTGATCTTTCTCTGCACCTTCTCTGTAGCTGTAACACTATATTCTTCATTCTGTTCTATTACCTTGATATACTTAGGTATAGTATGGTTTGTCTGAATAGCACGCAAAACAATACTTTTCACTGTATTTCGGTACATGTGACAGTAATAAATCAAACCAAATCAAATGAAATCAACGGTTAGAGAGGAGGGAAGAGGAGTCTTCAGAGGGTTCAGGGGATGGATGATAGTAGGGACTCAGTAAATGGCCAACATGACAGAGGGATTTGAGGGACATCCTGAAAAAACCCCACTGACTTGTGGAGACCTGCAGACTGGGTGACTGACTGAAAAGGAGAAGTCCTCTTCAGAAACACACTCATCAAACTGAGGGAACTTCATCAAAATGTGCAGAGGCACAGTTGAGGCACTGGAGGGAGCAGGAGACTCAGACTAGAGGTGTGGCCGGACAGAGAGATGATGTGGGTCAACCAGCACATAGGGTAATTGGCAAACGGGAGGCAATGCAGTCCAGGAACAGGAGCAGCACAGATTTGCTTGGTTTGTGGAGGGCAGTGGAATAGCATCTAGGCATTTTCAAAATGTACTTAGTTCAGCATGTATTGTCATTCATCTGAAATACCTCCCATCTGTAATATGGGGACAATGAACAGAGACAATGGGGGACAAAGTACAATGGGACCTTGTTCAGATGGGTCAATGGCCTGAGGAGTGGAGGATGGAGTTTAATTTAGATAAATGTGAGGTGTTACATTTTGGAAAGTCAAATCAGAGCAAGACTTATACACTTAATGATAGGGTCCTGGGGAGTTTTGCTGAACAAAGAGAACTTGGGATGCAGGTTCATAGCTCCTTGAAAATGGAGTCACAAGTAAATAGGATAGCAAAGAAAGCGTTTGGTACGCTTGCCTTTATTGGTCAGTACATTGAGTATAGGAGTTGGGAGGTCATGTTGCGGCTGTACAGGGCATTGGTTAGGCCACTGTTGAAATACTGCCTGCAATTCTGGTCTCCCTGCTACACAAAGGATGTTGTGAAACTTGAAAGGGTTCAAATAAGATTTACAAGGATGTTACCAGGGTTAGAGGGTTTGAGTCATAGGGAGGGGCTGAAAAGGCTGGGCTG